GCTTCTTTCATTCATGTTATGGGTATTTTTATACAAAGGAAAATTTTTTGTGCCTGTTGAAAATTAAAGTTTACTGAGATAGCCATAAAAAAATGTTCCTTTGTTTATCTGACCATATTCGAATGTATTTGTTAGGTTTTCAGTCAATTAAATTTGGTTCAATAAACAATATGTGGTCATTTTTAAAATTTTCAATGAACAAACATTCGATCAGTCCGGCCCTCGGCTTGCAGCAAAATTTTTTATCTGGCCCTCCATCCATTTGACTTTGACACCCCTGCTCTAAAGCTTTGACAAATACCGTATTAAATCAGTGAATACGGTATTTGTCAAAGCTTTAGCATTTAATTTAAATGACATACTTGATTTAAGTGTAATAGGGAAACAGTAAATTGCTACAAATCAAGAGAACGTTCCATAGAAGGGCTAAAATGTTGTTGTTGAAGGTGCATGTAAATAGAGTAACTTGAAAAGTGAGTAGGATGACTAAACAGGGCAATGTGTGAGTCATTTGGCTCACCAGAAGGGGCTTTTTGCGAGTCACCTCCCCTTCTCTCCTCCAGCAGGCTGTCTCCATCACCTTGAATCCCAATCACTGTCGCTGTAGAAGGTGGCCTGATGATGACAGAGCTTTTCACTTCTCAGGAAATGTATCATAATAAAGACATTAATTTGAAAGAAACAACAATTACAGAAAAAGACCTAGGTTAAAAGTGAATATACTGTATGTAGCAGATAAGCATCACAACAAATACATTTGCTGGCAAAAACACACGGACTACTCATTTTCTTCTGGGTCAAAACTTTCCCTCGGGTTGAACCACATTTGTTTGTCTGTGCTGCTAAATTTTTAACCTCACTTAAAGGGAGAAACTAGGCCGTCAAAGAACATCAAGATGAGACTAAATAATAAGTGCATTTATGTGAAATACAGATAGAAAGGCTTGAAATCAAATTACTGGCTATTTTAGTACTAATTCCTATTAAAAGTAGATAAGGGGACCTAAATTATCTGGAAGCTCTCGAAGGGGCCAAGGGCATTCATAGACCTAAGTTACTTTTGGTTTCAAAAAAGCAATTTGTATTAGCTTAGCTAAAGGTCCACTGTGAGTAGAGACATTAACACTCTCCTCTCCCCTTCATTGGTTTGAACGTTGCCAAGGTTAATGTCACAAAATGCTGCCATCTCTTTGTTCAACAGACCTGTTCCTACAGCTCTATAGTGACTGAAATTGGTTCTTTTTTGCCTCAGGTTCGAATAAAATTGTAATTTATGTGAAGTGTTAGAGTTGACAACACAATAATTTGACGGTATAAGCGGAGTTGAGTACATTTGTAATAGAACTTGACATGTACTTACGTTTTAAAACAGGGATCTCCTGACATAAGATGAGTACTGATGATAACCTGTAAACCCCAAAAATATTACATTTATCAGGAGTGACTGCCTTGGATTTATGCTAACATAGAGCAGCATCAGCCCAAGCAAGCTAAAATTGAGTCATTTGGCAAATGATATGAGCATGATAACTACAAATGTACTATTTGCAAAGTATCTATCAAATGATTTGCTCCCAAAGTAGGTCTTGGTGACACATGAAATAAATATGTAGACAGAGTGACAGTTTCAAAACAATATGAGTATGTTTAGATGACACTGCAGTGAATAACAGTTTCAAAACCCCAACATTAGCAATATTCTGGTTGGGCAAGGCCAAGTAAACTACAGGCCATTTTGTATCACGATAATGATGTACCGCGATATATTTTCAGTTGTTTGATAAAGAAATTATACAACACACTATGACTATTTTCCTTTGCTCACTTTATCTTGAAGTGACGTTAAACAGACCTGTATAAAATGAGAAATGCATCCAGGAGTGCTGCTATCTAAATGCACACCAACACTATATTTTTTCATTTGATTTTTACAGGAACAATTTAACATGATGCATGTCACAGACGGGCTTCTTCCTTGTGCGTGCAGTCCGTGCAGTCTGACAGACAGACAAGAGTTGGAGAGCAGTACAGTATTCCCCCCGTCACTGCCAAGACTCGGTTGGAGCACTAAAATGTGCACTCGCGATAAGGCGACAGGTTGAAATTTTAAGTCGTACAATTTGTAATTTTCCTTCACCCAACTCATTAGTAATTTTTATTGTCTGTCAGATTTAATTTTGCACCATACATTTGTTATGTGTGATGACTAGAGCTGTCCGATTGTCCATACTTAAATATAGTGCACTGTTTTGGGGGTCACACTATTTTGAAGGTATCCGAATCTCCAGAGAAAACAAAACAAAATTACCCACAATGCACTTGAGGTCACTCAACATGTTACTATAGACCACAATGTATTGCGAGCAGGAAAACAAAATGATGAAGGTGAATGACAGCGCGAAGTGACCAGCGAGAGATAGTTTGCTCACATGTGGCTCGAACATCAAAGCCATACAGTAATTTTTACACCACGGGAATAATAAATTCATTTTATTTAATTAGAAATATGTAGGGTGGCCCGGTGGTGAGTGGTTAGCGCGTTGACCTCACAGTGCAGAGGTACCCGGTTCGATTCCAGCTCGGCCTTCCTGTGTGGCGTTTGCATGTTGTCCCCGTGCCTGTGCGGGTTTTCTCCGGTTACTCTGGTTTCCACCCACATTCCAATGTGGCAGGCTGAGTGAACACTAAATTGTCCCGAGGTGTGAGTGTGAGTGTGGGTGGTTGTTCGTCTCTATGTGCCCTGCGATTGATTGGCTGGCAAATGGTTCAGGGTGTCCCCCGCTTACTGCCCAAAGACAGCTGGGATAGGCTCCAGCACGCCCCGTGACCCTCGTGAGGACAAAGCGGATCAGAAAATGGATGGATGGATGGATAGCAATATGTACTACAAAGGAAATAAAATAGCGTTAAAAAAATATATTTTTTTAAATTCACAATAAACTGTATGAGATCTTACAGCGCTTGTGCGTCATGACAGGTACAGTGGTCACATGATATGTGCTGAGGAGCACATAGTCAGCTGGCTGTCTGAAATCGCCAAACAGACTGGGGGAACTATGTAGGCTACTATATAGTGCGGGACTACAGTATATAGTGAATATGGGGTTAGAGAATAAGGGTGGACATTGGGACAAAGCCCATGTATTATGATTCACTTCTCTGTGTTATTGTTCAGTCTGCCACCGGGTGGCATACGAATGGTGAGTGAACGTTTTTTGCCACTCAAATCATGCTTCCTGTGTCATTTTTATTACTCACAATTTGCTACAGGTGATAATGCAGGAGGTGTCAAATGACAATTGACTCGATATGAGAAAAGTGACACGGAAGAAATGTATCTATCATTTTCGCAATCTATATCGTCATGTTTGAAATAAAATGAATTATTATTATTATTATTATGTTGCCTCGCTCCAATTGGGTCATATAAATGCTTATCGGAATACCTCAATTGAAAGGAACATTAGTTTGTATTCAGCGCATGTTTTATCCGCAAGGAATCATGGTCTTTTGAGTACAGGAAGTAACCCATCGGAAATATACAAGCAGAGATAAACAAATAAACAAGGTGAAACTCTGACGTACCACACTCTTGGAGCGAGGAGGAAACCAATGACTTTATATAACCCATCGGAAATATACAAGCAGAGATAAACAAACAAGGTGAAACTCTGACGTACCACACTCTAGGAGCGAGGAGGAAACCAATGACTTTATTGCTGTCGTGGTATTGGTGCAAGACATGAATATAATGTCTTTTATTCACAGTAGAAAGTATGAAGCGAAAGTGACATCGCATTGACCGTGCATCAGGTTTTAGATGGTGATATTCCAATTGATCACAATTACCATGTATATGAGAGTAATTCTGAGTAAACGGCTGATTCCGAATGTTTTAGAAACCACCATTTTGACCTTAATCAGAAAACTGACAGCATGTAAACATAATCAATGATCCATTGTCCTGTTGAAGTCCAACAAGACAGCCGCGGAGTACCAACGTTACCTTAAGAATGGAGTTATCCTGCCGAGTATTTTTGGTATCGTAACCCTCAAGCAGACATCTCCGGGTTGTGCTTCCTGAGCCGGCAAACTCTGATAAATTCAGATCTGCAAAACCAAGCTGTAGGAAAAACCATGACAGGTTTATTTTTGTGATAACATTGCTATGAAATAGAGAAGGTCAGAAAAGAGCATAAGACCAAGAACGTTCAGCATGTTAAATAAGTCGATATGCTTTTACTGACCATATGCCATACCACTTGTATGCTTTGTGTTATTTGCGTTCGCATGGTGATGGTTTGGGTACTTGGCACATCATTTTTTTTAAATGTTAAAATGCTGACAAATCGGACTTTGCGGACGGTGTATCGGTCTGTCGTGGTAAAGAAGGAGCTGAGCCAAAGGGCGAAGCTCTCAATTTACCAGTCGATCTACGTTCCGACCCTCATCTATGGTCACGAGCTATGGGTCGTGACCGAAAGAATGAGATCCCGGATACAAGTGGCCGAAATGAGTTTTCTCCACAGGGTGTCCGGGCTCTCCCTTAGAGATAAGG